CCGCGGCTGCCTGCGGGGTCGGCTGGCGGAGGACTGAGCCGCCCGGAGCTCCCCACATGCTCCTGATTAACATACACCATTACATCATGGGCTTGGCAGGGAGCGCCCGGGCGGGGGGGAGAGGAGCCGGGGGGGGCCGGCCGGGGGGGGCGCGGGGGTTGGGGGGGCACCGAGCCGCCGGGGCTGGGGCGGCCGCGGACCCCGACGGAGCGGGGGCGGAGCCGGGAGCTGCTGCCCCCCGCCGCGTGCCCTTGGGAGGGTGGCTCGCCAGGTCCGGTGACCCTTTGGCCCTGCCGGGCCCCGTGGGCGGCTGGCCGGGGCGGACCGTAAACACCCCGAGCCCTGCCGCCGGGGGCTTGGACGGCTTCCTGGGGACGCGGGAAGCGGCAGAGGGCGGCGAAGGGCACGGAGCGGCGCCGGCCTGGCCTGGCCGCAGGGCTCGGCGTGGCCCTCCCCGGCCGCCCGCGCGCCCCGCCGACCACCCTGGACCCCGGCCGCCCGCCGCGCTCTGCCGGGGGAGGGGGCGGACCGCGCTTGGCGCGCCGCAGTGGCTGTGGCCTGGAGCCGTGGCCCCGGCGCCCGAGGCGACAGGGGGCGTGGCGAGACCACCTGTCAGCCCCGCCGCCTTCGGGGAGGGTGGGGCGCGAGGCCGCCTTCACCTGTGCCTGCCGAAGCCAGAGGCTGGGGGATTCCTCGCTGGGAGCGCCTGGGGCAGCCTCCCACGGACAGGGTTGGCTAGAAGTACCCTGACACCTAGCATCTCCTCGCCTTCCACTAGTGTTCACTAAAAGGACTCGGCCTCCAGACGGCCTGTTTTCGGAGGAAACGCCGAGCCCTCGAACTTGTTTTCCAGGGACTTGGCCAAAGGAGAGCCTGCCAAGCAGAGCGGCTTCCAGATCCAGAAGGGCTGCCTAGCAGTCCTGAAGGTAAAGCACCCGACACCTTGTTCCTCCATCTTTCGGCTCCCGCGCTCGCATCTGGATTCCCAATCCTTTCTTACACCCCACCTCAGACTTCACTTCTGCCGCGAATCGGTCCTGTCAGTGTGACATCACCTACCATCTGTTAGGACCTGGAAAGGGCTGGTGGGGCGGCGCAATGTTTTGCCAATGTTTCCATCACAACCGAGTGTGTGGCTTTTCCAAAGTTCATTATTAACCAACCAGGGGAGGTATCTGCATAATTTGACGGATAGTTCGCTCTGTTTAGGAGGCACCATCCCGGAGTCGGCGTTTGACTTCTGACTTGTTTTATTACCGTAGAAGCAGGGAAGCTTTAATAGAGCTTCCTATGCAGTACGCCAGCTGCTCCGTGGTAGTACTTCTGTCACGAGGTGGGGAAGACCGTGAGAGATGGGACCATGCGGTGCTAACTCAGCCAAAGCTTTTAGATCCCCCAAAAGATGTTTTTAAGAAAACCGAAGACACGCCAATAACGTGGTTATCATCAGCTGCTACCTAAAACACGGCTAGTAAAGCAGGGGGTCCCGGGAGGACGCGGGCAGAGTGGCAAACGCGACGAGAGAAAACAGTGCCATCTACGGGAGCATCGTAATTCTGACAGCAGCCTTTGACCTGTGTCTCGGGTAGTCTCTGACGTCTTGCTGAACAGCATCATTTTCTCCTCTTCTGGGGAGGGGAGAAATTGGTGTTTGCTTAGCAAATAACACCCCTGGTCAACAACTCAAATGCTCAGGTGTTTGAAGGAGTATTGATTCCAGAAAGGCCAGTTTCCTATTTGCTGGTGCTGGTGAGAACTTCTAAGTACTTCTTCCAGGCATCCCCCACAAGCCCATGTTTATACAACTTCAATAAGGCTTCTTGTAGAAGAAGTAAGGCAGTTGGGCTGGATGAGATGGCACTGTGAGTGAAGAGCCTTCTGCAAGCATAAAGACCAGAGTTTGAATCCCCAGTGCCCACGAAAACCCACTTGCAGACAAGGGGATCCTGGGGCCTGCTGGGAAGCCAGGCTTTGAGTTCCAGATTCAGAGAAAGGCTTCACAAATAGGATGGAGAGCAATGGAAGACAACGAGGGCAAGGGTGGGGAGTGGGGACAGGACTGGTCCAAAGGAGGACACACAGACTTACAGAGCTGTTTATATCATCAACCGAGAGACATTTAAAAATCTCTGCTCACACTTTTCACTCAATCGTTCAATAAGTGTGCATGGAACACTTATTCCGCACCAGGTCCTCAAGTAGAAACGCTAAAGGCAGATGGCATCTCCATCCAACATGAAAGCTCACGTGACATAGGAGTACGCACCAGTATTCTGAAGAAATACATGCATAAAATCTAAATTCTTCAGATTATGTAATTATTTAAGAGATTAAAACACATACATATTCAATATTCATTGTATGTGTATATGGCATTGGAAAACGTGTGCTGTTACCCTGAGGTGTGATTTCTTCCCTAATGTGGTACAGTGTCTGAGGATGGTTGTCTCGTCTGCATGGTCTCAGGACTGCAGCCCGGAATTAGCAGGTGTCTGTAAGAAACCGCTGCGAGATAGTGTTCACGCAGAGCAGTGTGCCTGGGCGGCCGGGCCTGGGGCTGCTTCCGAGCACCGTGGCGGGGAAGGCAGCCCTGTGCTGGGGAGCAGGCCTGCAGCCCCCAGGAACTGATGCTGAGCTCTTGGGCTTCCTCCGTCAGGCATGTCCTAGCTTCGGGACCTAGGCAGCTCGGACAAAATTTCATTCCACATTCTTCAGGCTGGCATATGAAGACTCTAGGTTTTGAGCATTTTCTGCTCCTTTGGGCTGCTTCTCTGAAAATCAGTCCCTAATTCATTCAGCAAGAAGCACTTATCAAATACAAGACACACTGGGCAAAGAGGGACCCGGAGGTAGGAGAAGCTTTGATCTTTTGACACTCTGATTGAAAGCCTGAAGCATGCTTGAGATATACATGTACAGATGCGCGCGCACACACACACACTCACACACACACACTCATGTGTACACATGCAGGATCAGGAGGGTCAGGTCTAGAGTCAAAGTTGAAAAAGCCCCAAAGAGGCAGCCCTCCTGCCAGGAATGAAGAAAGACGCCTCGGTCTGTTACCTTCTAAGCTGGAGCCACCCCACCGTCAGTGGGATAAATTGCCGAGATGACATCCAGTGGGAGGTGGATGTAGAGGTATTGTTTGTATCCATATGGCACTTGGAGAACTCCATGCTGGGTGTCTTAGGTCAGCATTTATTTTGGAGAGAGAAAGGCTCCTCCATGCTGCTCCTGGATGTCAGTGGCACGCACTTCCACGGTATCTAAATGAGGAGTATCTCGTTTTGGATTACCCGGTCATACAGTGTTTAGGACTCTACCCTACTATAATAAAAACACTGTTAGTGTAAGGCAAACAGTATTAAAGCATGAGATAAACAAAAAGAATGTTTATTTCAGCATCATTTGAAATAGCCGAAACAATAGAGTCATGGGTCAGTAAACTATCAAACTTCTTCCTCAATGCACCTGTTCCCAAAAGTAAATTATAGTGCTTTCAAATACAACAGATTGATGGACACATAGAGAAACGGATAGGCAAATTAACATATGCTGAAAATACAGCCGAAATATCAAGTATAAATGGGTGGCGAGTATTTGCCACTTAATTCTTCCAACTTTTCAATGTTTACATCTTTATAGGGAGAGATTAAAAAGGAAGGAGTCAGTAGTATGCAAATGATCTAGAAAATGTATGCTCAAAAATCTGTAGTTCTTTTTTTTTGTGATTAAGAAAGTCAGCTCCAATGGGCAAGGATGTTGGACATTTTTAAAGAAAACGTTCTTCTATTTGTGTCAGGACAATTCAAAAGCACTTTGAGATTCGATCTCACTTCAGTAGGAATATGGCTGTGGTCCAGAAAAGAACTGACAAGTGCTGCTGGGAAGGCTGCAGAGCAAGAGGAACATTTAGCCACTGTTGGGACAGTACTGACTAGTGAAGCCACTATGGAAGTTAGGCTGGGAGTCTTTCAAAGTGGGAAAAAATAACCACCCACCTATACACTTCTGAGCCTATCCCAAGACACCATATCCTACCACAGAGATGCCCACACGTTCATGCTTGCTCCTGTTCTGTTCACAGCAGGAATGAAGCCAGCCCAGCTGTCCCTCAGCTGATGACTGGAGAAGGGAAGCATAGCATACATTCACAAGGGAATTTTATTCAGTTGTTAAGAAAAATGAAGCTATGGAATTTACAGAAATAATCGCTGGAACTGCATCATATTAAGTAAGGTGAGCTAGTCTCAGAAAGACACAAATATCCCTTGTACTATGAAAGTGGGAAAGAATTAGGGATGAAGGGGGCAAGGGGCAAGGGAGGCAGGAGGGGAAAGAAGAGGGAGAAAAGAAACAACCAAAACCAAACTTTGAAAAATTCTATAATGAGATTTTACTTTCTATTAGCTAATAACAAAAATTAAGAACAGTGACTGTTAGGTTAAGCCTGGGAATCCTGTCTTGGAGCCCGACCATCTTTCACTAGACCTATGGCTTTGTACAAGTCACTTCCCAACCTGAGCCTCAGTTTTATTGTCATGTTTACACTGATAACATTAACAAGATATTAATGGCCCAACCTCATGTCACTGTGACTAATGAATACTTCAGTATGTCTACATTTCTTAAAATGGTGCCTAGAAAATACTGTCATTAATTATGATTGCTTGAAAGAGAATTAATGGAGTAAGAGGAGCAATGGGATTTGTGTCTGTCTCCCTCAGAAATGTGTCTGCAATGTTAGGGAAGTATGGAGCGGACAGAGAAGCACAGTACAGAGCACCGTGTCTTTACGTGTTTGTTAGTGTTGAATGCAACCATCTGAAGACAACTCACACAACTCCAGTGACAGGGACAGGCTCCAAGATAGCTGACCTGGAAGAATAGTAAATTAAAAGAGACCAAAGGCTCATAGCAACCATAGGCAGTGTATACATCTTTATTGCACTCAGATTTGCAAAAATAGCGATAGGAGACATTTTGGGGGCAAGTGGGAAGCTCTCAGCATAGGCTGAGAACTCACTCATATTGACACTGCCCTTGACTTCATTAAATGTGCCCAAGCCCCTGTGGCTACAAAGAACACCTCTTCATCTGTTAAGGAATGGTCATGCTGAGGTGAGGGTGACGGGTCATGATGTTTGTCTCAAAAAATAAATATAGAAGTGATTGAGAAAAGCCGCATACATCAATCCCAGGTCTACACACACACACACACACACACACACACACACACACACACACACGCCAAGGAGTCCCCACATTACACTAGAAGAGTATTATTAATGGGCTGGGGAGATGGCTCAGCGGACAAAGTAAGAGCTGAGCTCAGATCCCTAGCACCATGTTGAGAAACTGAGTGCAAGTACGTGTGCAAATACTCGTTATCTCGCCCAGCAAGGCAGAAGCAGGAGGATCCAGGGGTTCTCCCCGGCCGGCCCTGCCAACTGTGAGCTTTAGGGTCAACGAGCGAATCTGGGAGGAAAATAAGATGGAAATGAACAGAAGAAGACGGCGAACATCGATCTCTGGCCTCCATACACGTGTACATATACAGGCACAGGCCACGGACCAGGAGGGCAAAGATGTGTGTGGCTGGGCGTGGAGGCACATTCCTTTCCTCTCAGTACCATCGAAGCAGAGACAGGCAGACCTCTGTGGGTTTGAGGCCAGCCTGGTCTATATAGCAAGCCCCAAGCCAGCCAGACCATAATCAATGAGACTGTCTTGAAGAAGGAGGAGGAGGAGGAGGAGGAGGAAGAGGAGGAGGAGGAGGAGGAGGAGGAGGAGGAGGAGGAGAAAGTGTGTATAATTAAAAATAATTATGCTCTAGGGATAAAGCTAGGTTGGAAGATAGCTTCCCTAGCATACTCAAAGCTGTGGGTTCAAGTCTCAGCACACTTAAGCCAGATAGGGTGGCATGTGAGTTTAATTCCAGCACTCGAGAAGTAAAGACAGGAAATTAGAAGTTCAAGGGCACCTTCAGCTATGTAGTAGGTTTTTGAGTTCTTGAGTTCAAGGCCAACCTGTGCTACAAAGAACCCCTGTCAATAATAATAATAAAACAATTGTACTGCTAGTTGTTCCAAGCTTGTTAAGAGGTCTGAAAAGAACTGGAGTAGTATTCGGTACCTAATAAATATTTGATGTTAAATTTCCTTCTTCCACATACACGAGAGAACATGATTTGGCTGATATCCAGCGTGGGTCAGTTTCACGTGCTTTTCTTACCCTTGGATCCGAGTGCCAGGGCCTGCCTAAGGGAGGCAGGAGCCCACACAACTGCTGACAGACAGAGGTAGGCAGGCCAGACGAGAAGCTGGTTCTGCTAAGATAAAGGCAATGAAAGGAGAGCAAGCATGGTGAGAATTTTTGTCTCTTTAAAACCCAAGTTATGCGACTAGGTTTTTGTTTGCATCCTAGGTGTGGGATATGGTGCAGCTTCAGACTGTCACGGCAGCTAACTGTGATTTGTCTCAGGCTCTAGGAGGGGTGTAGTTAACATTTAGAATTCCAAGGACTCCGCAGAGGATATATAAATGCCAGAGTCCCAAGAGAGGGCAGCTGCTGCTCCCCTTGCTGAGCTTTTGCTGGTTACAGGTTGCTGGTTGGAGATATCCTGATGTCGAAGACTGGACTCGCCCCAAGGCACTCAATGATTCTAATCAGCATTAAGGAGACAAAAGAGGTTGACACCCCCTTTCCCTTCTATCCTGCTTGCTCTCCTACCTAGTGTTGGGGGTTGGAGAAGGGTGATAGGAAAAAGAACCAATGAAGTAACCAAAAAGTACAGTTACAGGTAAGACCTAGGGGCCTGGGCTAAGCTGAGCTCAGAACATCTCAGTGTTATTCAGGGCGGACATTCCATTGACAACCCAATGTCCTGTCGGGCCAGGGCGATGTAATGAGCGTCTAAAGCCGTTTTCTCAATTACTTGCACATTTTTACACTCATGAGATCATGGCCTCCTGATCCTAGCCCAAATCAGCGCTGTTGGTTGGCGATAGGAACACTGGATGGGCCGTCTCCAGGAATCTGCATCCCCCTACCCCCCACCCCATGACACGGCTTCACTCTGTAGCCCTGGCGGGTCTGGAACTTGCTATGTAAAGCAGGCTAGCTTTAAACTCCTTAAAGCCAGCTGGAGCAGCCATGATTATGCCTGAGTATCAGAGCAGACTGTGCACTGAGTGGACAATGACTCAATACAAGAAAAAATTTAAAAAGTCCCAGTGTTCCCATCCTGCTAAACTACCTTCCCTTAACATTGCGCTCTCTCGCTCTGTGTGTGTGTGTGTGTGTGTGTGTCTGTCTGTCCGTCTGTCTCTCTTTGGTTTTTCAAGACAGGGTTTCTCCATGTAGCCTTGGCTGTCCTGGACTCACTCTGTAGAT